GGAGGTCTCCAATTTCCTCTATGCAGTTGCTTCCCTGGGAGGACACAAAGCGAGAACTACATTTGCAGTAGTCGTACTAATCTGCGGCGATCCGAAGATTCTAAGTGTCTTCACTCTACCTGCTATTGCCAGCGTGGGGGATATAACTAAGTGTCTCACAGCTGAACTCAGAGGCCTCAAGTTGGAACGTGCTGGTGACTGCAAGGCTATTGAGGAAGCAATCAACAGGGGCCTATCGAAAAGTGAATGCTTGGCAACTGGTGATCGAGATCATACGGTTGGTGACCTGGTTGTTAGTTTCTGATTTGGAGGAAGATCCTGAGGGTATTACTGATTTAGTTATACAGATTACTGAGGCTGTTCTCCTAGCATTGTCGAGAGCTTCTGGGCGTGAGCAACGCCTAACTCTTGCAATACAAGTACACCTACCTTTAGATGGTTGCCTTGTGAGATTCCTGGAGAACTTGCCTATGGGTTCGTCGCTGCATGAGGACTGCCCGATGGAGAGCTCTCTAAGGCAGTGTGGGAAAATATGCACGAAGTCAACTGCATTGATCTGAGGAAAATTCGGGAAATTTGTTGTTGGTTTTTGTACACTTGTACCCGAGTTCGCGTGCAAATTTCCATATTCAGTGAGGAAAGCGAACATATTTCAACACTGGAGTTTCACCCGTTTTACGTGAAGTGGTGTAAAACGCGATATTCGCGCTGTGAAATATGTTTCTCCACTAGTGTTTTTCATATCATTAGGGTGAAACTCTACTGTTTCGGGGTGAAATGGTCGTGGTATATAAGCAACATTTGTACTGCGATGAAGCAGGTCCTTCAGTTACGACAAGGCACTACTCCTACCAGTCGTAGAGGGTGGCGAGAACGTTGCTCCGAGCACGACAGGTTATCTTTCTCTGAGCTATAGTAGACAGATGGGCGATTCACTCGAATCCTTCTTCAACTTACCCGAGGCGATCACGTATGGGGGGGGGGACTCCAGGAGATCACAATATTCTGGTCTCGCGATTATCTTAGTCTGTGAGCATTACTGCAGCATGTGTAGGTTTCGGCGGAATTATTTTACATTTTGTTAGGAAAAAGCTACTGGCCACCAAGAAGTTTACTATTAGAGAAGAAACTGGACGAGTAGGCTTTTCGCGTGAGGGAAACGCGGTCACTCTTGATGTAAGTACGGTACTCCCACAGGGTGAGCGGAAAAAGAAATTTGTTTAGGAAAACTTGTCGGATTTTAAGACTCTGGAATTTTTTCGGCTACCAGTAGAGAGCTCGGCGAGATCTCCGAAATGGTACACTACGTGCCATCTAGAGACCGATGATACTTTTTCTACAGAGCGATTTTGAAGCAACCCCTTTTATGTACTTGTCTTATCATCACATGCGCTGAGGGGTGGGCCTTTTTCCGATCACCCCGATATTCGACAGTCCGAGATGTCCTCATAACGAGACAACTATGTTTCCTTAATAGCAATAGTCAGGTTTCAGGCGATTGTGGCGGCGACGAAGGGTTTGGGTGGGACAGTTCAAGGGTTGGGCCTGGTAAGTAGGAGGGACACATGAAGTGCTTGTTCGTGGCCTTTCGAGATCAATAGGTTATCGTGGTGAGCAACACAGCGGCTGATAGCGATCATTTTGCTGCAGTTCGAGAGGCCACACCCGGTCGCATTGAGGAGAGCAGTATTGGCGATTTCGATGCATGGGCTGCTCAGTTGAGGGAGAGTGCCGGTAAGTGAGATGATCAATGTCAGGTGTTGTCATCACTGTGATGAATTCAATCTTGTATCGTTCGTTAGACCGATGAATTTTCCCAGACCGGATCAGTTCCATATCCGCGAGAGTTACATTTCTATCGGTCTTCGGACTTGTCTCGAATCAGTGATATTTTGGGAGGTCGTCGATCTTCCGATCGGCGGTTTTCCGCGACAGTAGAGACCGAGAAGCCACATTCTTGCACTTCCTGGGACGATAATATCAGATTCCATCCACCACGCAATGTATGCTGCACTATTGGTGGCCAACCAAAGTATTCAGAGACCTAAGACGTGTAGTGTGACACCGCTACGGCGCATCAAGGCAACAGTCGATGGTTGCATGCACATACTATGTGCAAGACATACAAGGCAGTCCTATTTGGACTGTCTTGTGCGTATCTTATATAATGTTGGCAATAGGAGCGAGAGTACTTGAATGCAAGCTTATTCACCATCACAGACCTTAAGTGACGTGGTATTCCACCAATCTGACCAGTTATCACTAGAGAGACTATTGGAATTACCAGGCACACTACAGGAGCGGCTACTACTACTGTAACAGTAGCCGTTCTGTAATAGTATCACTACTTTTACGGCCGGCCGGCGTTGAAGTTATTCTCGAAATAAAAGATTCTCAGTGGGAATTTCTCACTCAAAGGAGTAGCGAAGACCAGAGACATGTAGAATTACTCTAGTAGAATACCTGGGCAAGAGGACCCGATGTATAGTATACAGTACCACATTGTTTACCACAGTATACATTGAAGTTTCACCCGTTTTACGTGGAGTGGCGTAAAACTCTGTGACAAACTCGATATTCGCGCCATGCAGTAGTCGTGAAATATGTTTTACACTACGTAGTGTTTTTCATATCACGGGTGAAACTCCATTGTATACGGTACCAAATCGAGATAACGGTCAACGACCCCAGGTTAACGTCGAGTGTAATCTGTGGACGCGCGAGCAATGTACATTCATCACCCAAGGCAAGACCCACTATTGTCAACTCTCTGAGGGTTATACTTATACTCTTATTTCAACTGGCTTGCATCGCCGCGCAGCACCATACCATGATATTATGAGAGGCGGAAGTGATATCGCGGCGTTGTCGGTCCGTGAAGTTCATAGTGTTCTTGATGCATTGTTATTCTCATCTGTGGCTCAGATGGAATCCCAGTGGAGGTACTTAGAGAGGACAAACTCCTTTCCTGCAAGGTGTCGAAGCATCATCCCTCTATAACGCTGGGAGATAAGCTAGATCTATTGGAGCTTTCTGAAGCTGCCCTCCAATCGTCTGAACTCTCATGGGCGGTAGGGCTATCCTGCACTCAGAGGTAGCTGTCGGCTGTTCCCAGTCTCATCGAAGACTCCTACTGCAGATTTCTGTCACTCGGGTATTCATCTTCAGCCAGCTCATCCCTAGTGGAAGCTTGCCGAGGCTGGACAGCTTATCGAGGATTCAGGGCATGGCTAGATACTGAGCATGAATTCATTTTGGCTCCGTCATCCGTGTGAAGTCACTACAGGCGTTGCATTGGTGGACGCCTCATTCGTAATGTTGGCAACAGTCTTAGTTTACACTGATCGAGTTATGACAGCATTAGCACGGGCTGCTGCTGCGGCGGCGAGCACAAGCCTCAGCGAAGAATCTCTAGCTGAGCCCTCGACGATGCATACTAAATGGGTGGCACCGGCAGCTGCTGGTGAGCCCGGGGGTAAGGATCATACAATTGTGAGATTCGGGCAGTTTTGGTGTTCAGGAGTCCGCCTGTTAGCTCGGAGGATCGCTGAGGCATCTGCTACACGGCTTGAGACGAGCTCAGTTTCGGTGAGCTTATTACCGGCAGAAGCTTGTAACACCGACAGGGCTATTTCAGTCGACTCCAGCTTTGCGATCTGCGCGACTGCCACAAACTATCAGCGCTAGTCGTACCATCGATGGATCTGCTATCTCGCAAGTCAGTCACTGGCAGTGTGGGAAAATATGCAAATGGTCAACCACATGTGTTAGTGACAATATAGAAATTCTGAGGGAATTTTGGTCGGTTTCTGCCCATTCCTACCCTTGTTCGTATATAAACTCCTGTACTTAGTGAGGAAACACCTGAACTCAGCTGAGGGAAGCGAACGTAAATTACAACACTGATCACTGGTCCAGCAAACCTCGAACGGGAGAAATGTGAATCTGTTTCTCAGTGGTACGGATCGGCGAGCTCGGTGACGTCCACAGGAGGCTTGTCGGTTGCTGTCGAAGGTTGGCTGGTGAATGTCCAAGCATTTCAGCCAGGCTGATCAGGTGTTGAAGCCTCGAGTAATTTTCTACGAACTGCAGCGACACCTCCACAGGAAGCAACTCCCTCAATTTGGGTACTCCTCTCCAGCGTGCCGTGGTGAAGCTCGTTGCTTCAGCCGGTGGCCGAATCTACCAATCGTCGTAGCGACGCTGTCACCGCTATAGGGAACTACTTCGAATCCAGACTGTTCTCGCGTCAAGTGAAAGCTCCCTCGATGCATGCTTGGTTCGCGGTGGCAAGATATCGCAGGACACAGCAACGGCTCGGCGACAGCATACAAACGCGAGCGGTCAGTCGTACGAAGTGTTCAGTACTCCGACGCTGGAAGACGGCGCTCTGGCGAAGACTGCAGCGAATAACGTTGCGGAGAACC